GTGTGATCTATTATGTTAAGTGAAAACTATAGGAGAAGCTATTTTTTTTTATAGAAAAACCAGTTAATTTAAAAAATATATTTCACCCTTATTAGTAACTAATTGTTTATAGAATTCATTCACAGATGGGCAAATATTTTGAGAAAAAAAAATGTTTTCTATATCTTCCATAGCTTTTTATTTCAATTTAACTAAGTTTTGCATAGAATGCTAAATTTTAGTTTGTTATTTGTGTAAATATATACATTCTAACATCGTAGTGCATAAATTATTCGCTATGTTTTCATATCATTTTTTTTAAAATCAATCCGATATAAGGACTTTTGTTTCTATTTTTTCAATAAAAAAGAATGTATGAATATCGAATATATTCGTGTTTTGTATGAAAAAGGATTGAGTTTGATTTCGAAGAGGCAATAGAAATAAACCATGTGCACCGCCAAGATCAAACATGAATTTATATATATATATATATGTGTGTGTAATCAGTCAACTGAGAATTTTTTGTGTCATTTTACTGAATCAACAACACGTCTGCTATCTTACTCTATCTTTTTGCTTGTCTTGAGTCGTCTTTCCGTAATGTGTGAAAATATATTAAACCACAGAAAGACGTCTTCTTTCGCTGTCTTTCACCCAATCGTGTTGATCGTCTTATAACAAGATTGATTTTTGTAGGATGACGACGACGGCGACGACGCCAGCTAGCTGGTCGATCGATCCATCATAAGCAATAAATGTACATTGACATTGACGTGCTACTACCGGTGTTGGCACACAAATGAATACAGACACATAGAATGGAAAATGCTATTATTTAGAGAGTAAATAAATGACCATAGTCAATGAAGAGAATGCATTAAATGCAACAAGTATTTTATGTAATCAAAGCAGGTGAAATGAGCATGATTCTGAACGCGTTAAACCGGAATTGAGCCGACCATGAATTAATACTTAAATTGATTAACTAATCGCACATTGCTACATGATTAGTTGCAATGAGTGAAATGAATGAATTTAATTTTAATTAAAACAGAAAACAATTGAAAATCTATTTAATCTTAAGTTTTCATTCATACTATTGATAATCTTTTGAAGAACTAAATATCATTTTACTAGCCCAGAATTACAAATAAGTGACTACAATGCATCTTGTCTGATCTTTTTAACAAAAAGGCTATAGGAAATGTGCCAAAAATAAAACATCGTTATATAACATTAATAATTTATATATTCATAATTACAAGATTTCAAGGAAACTGATAATTATTGTACTGTAATTTGTATCAAATTTATTTATTTATTTTTTCAAATTGAAATATTAAATTAATATATCGTAATTTTTTTACCATGATGAAGATTTCCTGAATGAAAGCTAAATATTTAGTTGATGATTACCTTATACTGAATTTTCTTGAGTACTCAAATTTTTAATTACAAACTTAAGTATTATTTATAAAAATCAATTTTGGATATTCATGAAATCAATATTTAATTAATGCATAAGAATAATTCAATTGTCTCTAGAATATACAATCGACTTTCTACTAATGTAGACAACTAAAATGTAAACCTTCAACATGTTTGAAGCAAATTAATATGATATTTGTTTTATAGAGCCTCTAAATATTAAAGATTCATTCTTCCCAGTTGTTTCTCATGTCGTTTATTACGCTAAAACTATATATTTTTGACGAATGATATGTAGAGATCTTCATAATAGCTAACATCAATTTTTGTTGGAATGCATAAATACCAATTAGATTTCATTTCAACATAGAGGCAGTAATCTTTAATCCGCATCCTACTTTTTTTTAAATCGTAATTGAAATAAATAATTCATAAAGATCTTGATTATAAGTGCTAAATTTAGTCGAAATTTGAAAGAATAAGATTTCATCTCTTTTTGAAAAAATTAATATTAACTGTTTGATATAAAGAATAATGAATAGTTTCAATCATTGTTGAAAAATCGATCGACATTATTTCAAAATATTTTTGAAATAATTATATTTGAAAAAGAAATATTTATGCAACTAAGTAGTTCTATATTTTATATTGATGAATAATCTATTATCTGATTGGTTCACAAGTAACTTGAAGATCTCGAGAAAATTCGTATAGCATGACTCTAACAGTCTGTTGATCAGTGGTTCTTTTTTTTTTATAGAATTTTGTTGGATTCATCTATATAATTGACCTATATCTATAAAGTTCATAGTGGAAAAAGTCAATCAATGAAGCATACAATATAGACAATTAAATAGAATGAATAGATTATGATTCACAAAACGAATTCTTTCTCATTGAACAGAGAAAAACCGAGATTCTCGTACATCAGAGTAGAACTGAAATAGGATGACTACGTTTATTTCACTGCAATTTAGTTTTAATCCAGAGGGTCGGATTCTGTGTTTTTTCTTCTTTTTGTTTATTTTAAATTCAGGAGATTAACATAATTTAGCAAAAAAATACGTTGAATGTGTATATTTCTTCAAGTCAGTATTGATTGAGATCCACAAAGAATAAATATACTGACAAATAAGAAAACTATTTATAATAATAAAAGTAGAGTTTGAAAAATTCAAGGAATCTTATAGTCAATCCGTGATAGATTTAAGTTCAAATAACTCATGCAAAGCATATCAGGCTTGCACAAAGAAAATATTATGAAGTAACATCAATCGAATATCAAAAACACATTCATGTTTGAAGCAAAATTTATGAAAAAAGACAAATGTACAACAGTATTAATTAAATTTACAAACCTATGGTATATAGCTGCACGAAGAAATAGAGTGACACAATTTTTGGATTTGTATTCAATAATGATTCAACGCCTTGTTAGTAGAATTGATATATCTATCAGTGAACAAAATGTAAGTTAAAACCATTGTTTTTTAAATGTTAATTGATGACAACAAATCTTTAGTATTTAATTCTCAAATGCTATATGATTTAGAATAAAATTTAGATTTATATTTCTTGTTAAGTAATATTTTCTTTTCTAATTAGTATTAGATACTAAGCATTAAAAGATGATAAGACGCACTACTCTTTAATGATTTCAGCTAATCGAACATTCGACATTTTAATATGAAAGGAACATGTCGAAATGAATACCTTTCACAAAAAAGAATTCGATGTCAAACAAAATTTTCGTCTAGCAAATATGTGATTGAATATTGTCTGAGTTAAACACTTAGTAAAATTTCTTTGTTGCTTTTTATTATGTATAATTTTTGGAAATAATTCAGATATCGTAATTTATAACACGAATTTTCAAATTAAACTTTTCAAGACCTTTATAAACTGTTGAATCACAATAAAATATGTAATATAGAAAATATTGTTTAGGGTATAGAAAACTGATTGAAATTTCTAAACTCGTTAAAACATTTAATTATTATTGCTATCAGAGATGACATAAGTATCGTTTTTTTAGTACTATCATAGTATTGAGAAAGTTTCATAACATATTTGGAGTAAGCTCGTAGACATATAAAACATACAGAGATATCAGATTCAAACGTTTTTCAACACATTAAGTATAGCCTATTTAGCTTTGCATTGATAAATTGTTGTGTTAAAATCTGTTAACTGTAGTATTTAGAAAACAAATAAAGCTCAAAACGATTATTTTGTGGAAGAGAGCTGCTCGACACCAAATTTATTTATTTCAGAAGAATTGTTTCCATATGTTACTAATTCAATTGATTTGTAGCCCTGTGTTCGAACTTTTTGCTTTATTTTTTCATCAGCTCTTCTTAGAAATATTCTTATTAAAGTATTACCTTCATCTTCATTTGTTAATACAATACTCATTTGAACAAAATGTAAAATCTATACGCGCGTAGATCGTTACATTGATTTAGGGAGTAATTAGTCTTTTGTGTTTTGATAGGAATTTGTATGAGATAGATTCTACGCAAATATAAGATTCTCATGAGTACTATTTGATATTTTAGCAAAACTAATTTTAATATTCGAATCAATGATAACATATATCGTATATAAGATTGAACGTTTGCATAGAAAAACAAAATGTGTATGAACAAGAAAAAATCCAGTAAAATTACACTGTACCAATACAAAATATACGTTGCATCATTCAGAGAAATTTGTTGCTCGCATTGCCTTGTAAATGACTGTAAACTATCTCGAAGATTACATCTTTAAATATAGAGTCAGCTGATTATAGTGAATATGATGCTAAACTGAAAAGTTTATTTAGTTTTTGAAAAGCTAGTACTCAACAAAACATTTTGTAACACATATATCAATGAGAACTTGATTAAAATTATGCATTTTTTTCATGCTAGAATAAAATATTTTAGTACTAGATAAGTAATTCGCTATGTGATAAATTTTCGAAGAGAAGAAGACGAATGAAACTCGTAGAAAATATTTCTGTTTTTCAGAAAGTCTAGCTATAGATTCGTTCTTTTTTTGTATTTCACATCGTTTCTAAAAGTAAATTTAGAGACATATGAAAGTTGTTTGAAAGTTTTTATTCAATTTTCAATTAAAAACCTTTTTGGCTTTAGTACTGTATATCGATTTTCAAATGTATATATCATGTGAATAATTGAGAGACTAGTAGAAATCGAATGAAATCAATCATAATAGTATTTTATCGCAATAAAGCAATAGATATTGGATATGATTTTATTTTATTATGCAACTTAATTCTTTGAACCTGTGCTGGTGAAATGCGAGATACTATTGTGTAGACGATAAGAAACGTACACATGTGGTACTGTCTCGTAAATAATTTATCATCAATCAATATAATTCGGATGACTGAAAAAATGTAATTAAATTACAAATAGCATATAAATTGATTCTCTTTTGTACGATATTACTTTAAAAAGCTCACCATTTTAGTGTGCTTGATAATGGTTTTTTTTCTCCTTCTCTTCTAAGATAATAATAGAAGAAAAGCAAAACAAGAAATCGTATATACGTATATAGTACAACTGAAACGTTTTTAAAATAGATTACAGTGGTGTACATTGATATGAAGCTTCATTTTCTTCATCACCTTCAATACTGTCACTTTCAGTACTGTTTGTTCGATAGTTGGAATGTTTCTTATTGAATGATGTTTGCTTAATGGTTGGCCGTGTTATTGTTGTTGTTGTTGTTGTTGCTGATGATGTTGATGATGTTGCAGTTTGTAGACGTTTTTGAATAGCTGGATCATTAAAATAAACTCTTACATCTTTTCTTGCTGCTCCACCAGGTCCAGTCGTTTTACCTTTTTGTTTCTGTTGATCTTGTTTCGAATGATTTGACGTCGTATTGTATTTTGACGATGATGGAGTACGAGTACGTGAACGAATTGATGAAATCGATTCTTGAGATGTAAATATGGTTTGTGGTATATGTTTAGTAATTGGCGAAGTAATTGATGATGATGACTCACGGCGCTGATGATATTGTTGAATTTGTTGACCATGAAGTGGTGTAGCTTGAACAAATGTTGCTGTACCATGTGATGAATTCACAATGGTTTTTATTTGTGAACGAAATGAAGATACATGTAAATCACACCAACGTAATTGTGCTTGATAACGTTGAACAAGTATATCTTCTGGTTCATATACATAAAGATCAATTGGATTAAGTGTGTCAAGTTCAAGAAAAGCGAAATTTTTCATATCAAATGCAATAACACGAGAGTGTTGCTCAACAAGACGATGTATTGTTAATCGACGAAATGGATATCCAACGGATGTTGGCCCATTTTCTTCGAATGTTCGACTTATAATAAGTTCTGTTATAAGTGGATATTGATGAGCTAATTTGCTTAATAGTTCTACTGAGTATAAACCTTGTACTTGATTTGAAGATGATGATGATGAAAATGGAGAAGAATATGGTATAAGAGATGTTCGCCGATGAGAATTATTTGACGGTAATTCTCTATGTACAGGAACAAATATACCAATTGAATCAGATTTTAGACAAAATTGTTCATCACTTTGCAGTGACTTAACTTTGAGATAGTCACTTGGTGGTGTTTGGTTTTTAAATCTACGTGATTGTTGATTATTTGGTAAAAGATTAGCAAAAAGTGTACGTAAACGATTGGATGACGATGATGATAATGATGATATTGATGGAGATGGAGATCTAGATGGTGCTATTGATGTACGACATGATTCAAGGACAGTACCAGGACGAATACGACGTAGAGCTGAATTACTATATGCCATACATGGTTGCAAAATAGTAAAATGTGTAAATTCCGACGAAGATGGAACAGATTTTAAATGAGATCGCAAAGCATGAACTGATTCAAGAATATTATATCGAGTAATACCTTTTTCAACTGGAGCAAAAAGACCTATAAACGAATGTAGAAAAACAAAACTAAGAAAACAAGTCGAATCTAATCAAAATTCATCTTTGTATACAATTTATGATAGAAACTTTTATAGTTAATACTATTTCTTTATATTAGCATTTTATCCAATAACTAGTACATCAGTAACTATGATTTATCTTTTGTCTATTTATTACAGATTATAGTGTATCAGGTACTGCACACGCTTTTTATTGATTTTTTCATATATGTTATGTATATACTTTTTCCTAACAGAAGCCAATATATTTATAGAAAGAACAACATCAAAATATAAATTCTACATGAGCTGAAATAAAAATATGATTATACTTAGTAAATATCTTGAATCAATACTGATTCGTCAGTCAAATGATAAAAAAATATGTCTACGTTGATCGATGTATGTGCCTACGAATCATCTTTCCATTTTGTTTGTCTATTAACCGAGTATCAAATTATTCTGAATGCATGCAAAAAAAGGGTGTCAAGTTCAAGAAACGTATGCCATCAAAATACATGCAAACATGAAAAAAAATGAAATCTTGAATTAAAATAATAGTTTACTGTTCATTTTTTTCTTTATTCCCTAATTGCTTACCATCAAATAACAATGGAATAGAGAAACGTTCATTTTCATTTGAAACAAGTAAATATGGATCATTTGTTTGAGCAAGTAATAGGCAATAATTATCGGCAGATTCATGTATATCATCACCAGCAATTCGAACAAGACATGGAAGACGATGCTGTTCAATAACGGCTTGTAGTGTATGCAGTTCACAACCATCACTGTTATGGATACCTTCGTTTTCGCAATAATCACTGTTAAGACGCGGTGTTACCGCCCACTTCAACATTGCTTTCACTTGAATATGTGCTCTGTTGAATGAAGAAGTGAACTAAGTGTAGACGATAGAAGAGATAAAAAAAAGTTAGTGGTACTGTAAGTGATCCGCGTCCGAAGTGCTGTCGATGAAAAATTGAAAAAGATTAAAGACAAAAAGAAGGGGAGAGAGAGAGAGAGAGCGAAAGCACGTGAAGAAGAAAGAAAGCAATGGATTCCACTTTTCTCTCTTGTTACTCTATGGGCGAATGTGTACTGTATTATACACTAGACGTTTGTTGCTTCATTCTCTCTTTTTTTTTGCGCTCGCACTATTACTTGCTCCTTGCTTTTTCTCTCTTTTCCTATGACAAAGAGAAATTATACTACTCTTGAATATGTTACCGACAACCTTCAAGTTTTTTTCAATGTTTCATTGCACTTCAAGTGTTACATCGATTGTTTGAAAACATACATTTTTATTCAATTAAGGATGGCACTGTAATCGTTGTTTTCTTTACCAAAACTTTTTCACATCTAGCATTACTAATTGGTTTTTCTTCAAATAGTTTCAACAAAAGCACAAAATTTTCTCCTTCAGATTGTTCGTTTGATTATTGTTCACGGACACTACGTGTCTAATGATGTACCATCAGCTGTGACACTTGACAATTATTGTCATTGTCTATGCAATATACAAGACCTTGCATAAAAGTAATAGAAAAGTTACTATAGGGTGAACAGCAGAGCAGCAGTCACCTGTGAACTATTACTATTCATAGAGTTGTATAAAAAGCTTCATTTTTTTCTTCTAACAATAACAATAACCATCGCCTACATTGAAGGACATGTATCAAAGATTACAGAATCACAACTAGAGAAGTCATACGTATAATTCTTTTGCTCTGAAAGCCATCTATTGTACTAGTATATGTATGAATAGGTATTGAAATGAATAGAGAATAAAAAATTTCTTGTTTTAAACGTCACTAATATACACATGACTAATAATATCATGTAATACGAACATTGATTAACAGATTAGGAACATTTAAATATGCTATACTATATTGACTAATTGGAAAAATATTATATTTTATGTGCCATTAATAAAAGAGAACCTTGGAATGTCTACGCAGAACATCGTAAACTAGTATTTGCATTTATTTATTATTTTCTCTGATATAATTACTCTCTTATTGAAAACGTAGAAATAAATTTAAAAAGTTTTCTTTTCATATAGTATTGTACTGAACAAAAGATGAAGATATCATTTTGAAATGAGAATAAAAACGATATTTATGATTTTAAATTTCTCTGCTGCCAATAAACATTTGAGATGACTTTCTGTCATTCTATCAGATGTTATAAACTATTCAATACTTCGTACAATCGGCTTATATGTCATACTATCTTATTGAACTCTTAATATTCAATCATAAATAACGAAATCTAAATGTCATTGTTCAACAGAACTGACTTATACATGGCTTAAATGTGTACTTTTGAACATTTCTTACATTCTATTTCATACCTAGTCATGAACTGATGATTATCATGTACACGTTAACAATATTTACAGAAATGATCATTCAGTATCTTATACTCACTTTTACAAATAATAAATATCTGAGTTAAGATGTAACAAAAATGAATTATTTCCTTTCAATCAAATATATCTTGTTAAAAAGGAATTGTTGCTAAATTTCGTACTACTTTTCAAAGACTACACATTAACAAACTCAATATGTTGAATGAATTTTCAACGAAACTCATGTAAAATTTTATCATCGAATTGAATAAAATTTTTTGAAGAGATTAATCTTAGATCAATTGTTTCGATGATTTAATATATTGCATTTAAATTTATTTTATTGTCTTCTCCAAATAATAAAATTCTGACTATTATTACTTTCTGATTCTGCATAGCGAGTACCATCGGTTCGATGGTGTAGCGGTTATCACGTCTGCTTTACACGCAGAAGGTCGCGAGTTCAAACCTCGCTCGAACCTCTCTCTTTTTTTCTGACGTTTTACATACTTGTCTCTGAACGTGTATATTCATTTTTTTCTCTCTATTAATAGAAAGCAAGAAAAAAGACGATACTAATGTTCAAAGGATAGACTATGCTATGTATATAATAGAGAATAAATTATGTTTTGTAAATTTAATACATATCCTCAAGTTATCATTACTAAGATTATTAGGTATGAAAATGAAGTGAAAGGAAGAAAATATACGTGATTATCGTACCAAATTATACAATAAAACATCGACTCATTACAGATTTATCAGTAAATAATCGCGAAAAGAAATTTTACTATTGTTTCTTCACCATTGCACCGACAGGAAGTCAAAAGTAACAATCAGACTCTTCAAAATGCTGTTGTTGATTAACATATGTTAAATAAATATCGAAAAGATTGTATTCATGCGTATTAATTTTAAGCACCATACCTCTTATATTTTTTACCCACAAAATTTTGCATTGCCCACACAAGGGTATTAATTCTTTGATTAGGCATAGATTGTCAACCACAAAAAGAAACTGACTTCATAATACTTATTTCTTTTCTACTATGTAACTGAATGCATTCAGTGAGCTACTTTCTCTCTCTATATATACGTATATATAGTTTAAGTGGACATTAAATCAATATATCTCTTTTGAATATTAAACATTCGCTTATTTTCAGATGAATCCTTCAATAACTATTGCTCTACTCATAGGAGTGGCACTCATGGCAATGTTTATAAATCCTATACAATCAGAATCAATGCGAAGCAAACGATGGACATTTAATACTTGGCGATTGCACGGTGGTCGATATGCATCTCACACTACATCATTCAATCCTAATATTGGTTTGATTTTCCTTGGTAATTTCAAAGTATCGAACAAAATATTTTTTCATTTAGTTCCTCATTATTCTACAATATTCGCTGATGTCAATGATCAAGATCAACTTCTTAATGTTGACAACGATAATGATGATCCTACAATTAAAATACTTACACGTCAGCTACGTTTTTGCCAGCTATTAGATCTCGCACACAAAAAAGACGATTATAGTGATTAATTTTGAAAAAGTTTCTTCTATATTTTGGCTAACATAATAAAAAGAAAAGTAGCTAATACATTGAACGAAGAAAATAGAAAAAAAATTTTTTTTCGTTTCGAAGCAAAATTTCTTGTTTTTTGTTTGCTGTTGAAATAACTCTTGGTGATTAGCACTGTTTCATGATCTATTGGTATTGACATTTTCCCTGAAGTTGTGGTGTAACAAAATCAGCATCGTAATAATGATTCCATTCAATAATATTTAACTAAAATAAAGAAGAAAATAGTGTTTGAACAATAGTTGAATACCAGTAAGAAAATCGTATAATTCAGTTTTTGATATTACTTACACTTCCATCAAATTTAATCACAATAACTCCCCGTAAATTAACTTGACAACCACCTTTATTTACTGCTCTTATTGTAGCTTCAAAAGCGACCTTGTAAAAATAGAAAAAATTTATCTTATAAAAGCCCATATTATCGTTGATAGATAAGCATACTTCATTGTTGCCTGACCAAAGCTCCAAAGGATACCAACCATTTCCTTGAGGACCAAGATTTTGATTCCATGCATTACAATGTTGTAAAATAGCATCGCGACCAATTATAGGTGTCGATCCAACAGGTGAACGAACCACACCATTTGTTGCAAAATATGAAGTCCATAAAGTGCAGTTGGATTTTTGACCACTTCGAGCTTCAAACAATGCATAGACACTATTAAAATGAATCATAGCAACGAATTTTGAAATAAAATTTATACTGACGTGCTTCGAAGATCAGCATTCACATATGTGAATACGATGAACAACAAGAAACTTGTTGAGAGAACAAATTTTGAAAGCATTTTCTTTCTAACCACTGAAGTCTTTTTCAAAATAACTATTTTTAACAATGGCTGCTATCTTTCGCTGAGGTCTTTTAGATTTATATAGAACGCCTATCTTTTTTTTAATCAGAATGAAAGTAAAATGCAAAGAAATGACGACGAAAAAAAGTGCTAACGTATGATGTAAGCCAGATAACAAAAAGAAACAATTCCATTAGTCTGATATTTACTTCTGGTCAGCGTATTATTATTATCGTAGATTTGAGAAATATGAAAATCATTTTCTATCCTTTCATTACATTAATAAATTTCTAATTAAAATACCATATAGACGATAACTTTGTTTTTTTACGAATCTATTTAAATTAGTATATTCACGTGAACAAGATAGGCGCGAAATTTTTTGTAAAAAATCATTTGTGAATGATATCACTTAGATTTCTAATAGTTCCATTCGTTTTACTTATCATTATACTTATACTAATTTTATTAATATCATGTATCTGGATCATATTATTTTATATGCAGCCAAATCGAACACCTGTAAAATATAAAGGATTATATCAACGCAAAAGTTATACAAAAATGAATCCGAAAAATTTTCTTGAGAATAATATTATCTCTAATCATTTATCGAAATTTACTCACTCAAAGAATCCTAAACATGTGGCAAGAGCACAGTTGCAAACACATATTTCTACTTCAAAAACATGAAATATTACTTACTTAAACGAGATCGGTCTTTATATGATCTATGTATTCAATTGTGATCAATCATCCAGATCATCGAGTTGCAATCAAGGTTTCATGTATAACAAAACAAATACAGTAGCAGTAGTAATGAAAGAAATCTAAACTGACCTTATACAATACCATGATTTAAATGTTCCGGATACTTTTTACTATCTCTTCTAACTTTTAGAGTAATGGTCACTTGGAAAAAATTTCTATAGAATAATATTGATTGTATGATAGAGACTGAAGAATGATATTTACGGATGGGCAGTAGTTTTTGTAGAAATGAGTGTATCTTCAATTTTTTTGTCATCTTTGACTCGTATGTTTCATACAGGGGAAGAATTCATTTGTTTTAACCACATATTATTATTATATTCATATGTCTAGATATGTGCCTTCATCTATATTTTGTATATTTGTTGAGACGTTATCAGTTTTCTTACAATCATAATAATAACATTTTTTAAATATTCTAAAAAAAATCAATTTTTTACAGAATCTTTTGTGTCAACCAATATAATATTCTCACAATCTTATTTTACTGTTTTGAGATTCTTCAAGAGACGGAAGAGACGATATTATTTCGAAAACAAAATCTGTCAAGACATTATATGAGATTTCATATATGACTTTACCTAGTAAAACATTATTGTGATGGAACGACTTGTCCGTTTCTTCTTTTTATTCAGAATGATGCTTTTTTTTTGAGCAACAATGCTGACACGAATAATATAAACAGTAAAGAAGAAGAGAAGATAGGAGCAAATGTAAACTAATGATTAAATGATAAGAGTGATTAATGAGTACATCCACTCTTGAAGGAGTCGTGATGGATGGAATCGGTCACAATTCTCTTTAACTTGAATCAATTGGCACTATCGTTACTATAAATTATATTGCTTTTTCTCTGCTTACATTCTTCTAAATTACCAATTTTGAAATTTAACTACGTGGATTCCTGTTCAACTCACATGAATTCGATCAATAATTCAATTGAAACTACTCAAATATAATATCATCTATTAAATTTCACTAATTTTTAGAATTATATATTTTCTAGTTCATCAGTCACACTTTATTTGTTGAAGAAATACAAGATAATAGTGTTATTCCTTAACATTCTAGTTCGACGAATAAACAAACTCAATGGCAAATGCGAATCAAAAGGATAATATACCAAGGGGGAAAACACGGATTTGGGATTTTGAAAGTCCCAAAATCCAAAACGTGAATGATGGAATTTCCATCTGAATTTTTTCCCATATGTAAGTCCCATGATTCTTAGAATATTCTAAAATTTTCAGCCTTCTCAAGATAATGAATGCGCAAATACTCATTTCACGGCACGGTCAGAAAGTCCAGTTTTTTTGAAAATTCAATATTTTACGAAGGAAACATTTATTCGAGTTGAAACTTTTAGGATCTTTTATGGACCATGAAACCTATATATGGGAAGAATTTCAGGTCGAAACTACGTCATTCACAGAGGGGAAAATGCTTTTCAATTTATGAGATTTTTGGGATTTTCAAAATCTCAAAAATCCGCTTTCCCCCTTGTAATATAAGATTTACCTGTAGAATACTTTCCATGAATAAACTAACTAGTTTATTATTAGTTCAGTTAAATTCTCTAAATTTTGTATGAATCCCAGAGAAATTCTAACGGATTCTGATTATATTTCTCTAGTAGTTTGCTTTATTTTATAATTAGAATTAACAAAAAATAAATGCGGAAACATCGGATTTGCATCCGATTGTTATGTGTACTTCAAAAAGCGAAAATGTACATCCATTTTTTTCCTGTAAGGCATAGATCTCATCAAGATACATCCCTTCTCACTAAATTACNTTTTGTTGTCTTATGCTTTTTTTTGTGAAAGACTATACTAGGAAATAAAAGAAAATAAACTATGTTATAAAAAATTATTTTCTCTTCCGAACATCCTGTATTTTTTCGTTTCGAACATCTAGACGACTTTCATTCCGAACACCCGGCCTTTTTCATTCCGACCTTCCGGCGTTTTCATTCCGAACATCCGGAAACTGAAGTTCGGAATGGACTTCTCCGACCGATGTCCGTAAAAAAAAAATGAGGACGAAAAGGGACCACCCCGTCTTCCTCTGATGCATACTGTCAACGATGGCATTTGCGCTTATCTTCATGTCAAGTGTTCTGAATTGATATCATGTGCTAACAACAATCGAATATGCTATCGACCTGATCATCTATGTGTGAACTATTCATGATGTCATAGCACTCCATTATGCTATCCCATTGATATGACCCTTCAAATTTTGCTGTCCACCAATACCATCCATGACAAGTAAACAATCGAAATGAAGAATTTCATATGTTTGCCTCATTATCTTCTAGCTTCACAGCCGCCAGTGATTCATGACGATTGTATTTGTGAGAGTGCCACATGGAATCAAAATGGCGTTACAGTTGCTGGTTGGAATGGTCGAGGATCCTCATTGAATCAACTCGATGAACCCCTCGGTTTATTTGTGGACGAAGATGCTGCCGTCTATGTTGCGGGCACGTTAAACTTCAGAGTGGTTAAATGGGCATCCGGTGCATCTAGTGATCAAGTGATAGCTGGTGGGAATGGAGAAGGTAACCAGAATAACCAAATGAAATATGCAACAAAAATTATTATTGACAAGAATGGAACCATATTTATTTGTGATCATATGAACATGCGAGTTCAGCGATGGTTTAAGAATGACGATCATGGACAAACAATTATTGAAAATATCTCATGTTGGGGACTAACATTAGACAAAGAAAAATTACTGTATGTATCTGATTGGAAAAAGCGTCGTATAACGAAACGGCCGAGCGAACAAATCACCGCTGGTGGAAATGGGCAAGGGTCGGCTCTTAATCAACTCTTTTATCCATGTGACGTATTTCTCGATCAGGATCAGTCCATTTTCGTGGCCGACGATGGGAATCAGCGTATAATAAAATGACCTGTCGGTGCCAAAGAAGGTATTGTCGTGGCTGGTCATAATCATTTGAAATCGTCGCAGTCAGTGGTTGTTGACCAAATGGGCACTGCCTATGTCGTAGATTATGGTAACCATGTTGTGCGCTGGTTAAAAGACTATGCATCAGACAGTATCATAATCAGTCAGCATGGTGCTGGTAATGGAACTGATCAATTATCAGATCCAACAGATTTGGCATTTGATCGCCAAGGAAACATGTACGTGGTCAATAGGGCTAATCGTCGTGTACAGATGTTTACTATTGACAAAAGTTCTTGTGATAGAAGTATGTATTAAAAAATATTGCTAATATGAGCAATTGACATTTATCTTTTTTGTGTACTCAAAAAAAAAAGAGTACACTATAGAATCGGTCAGTGTGTCCGTCCGTTTATTCGATAACTCTTCACAATTACATTCGATTGAGCTGAAATCTTGTGCACAGAATTGTCTTATCAATATCTAGGTCGAGTTCGAAGATGAGAAGGATCCGTCAAGAAATGGTTGAGTTATCGAAAAAATTGTCATTATTGACCAGACCATCCCTGAGGGGGAGTACAGGGATTTTTCAAAAAAACTTTTTTTCCTCAGAATTATCCACAACATATATAAATCGACTCAGTTTTTAACGCTGATTTTGAATCTGGTATTAGTTTTGAAAAAAATCGTAGTTTTTTAACGAAATATTGACTGAAAAAGGTCTCAAAATACACAAAAACTGCATCTAGAAACCAAATTGCCTAGATATGTTTCAGATGACCAGCAGTTTGGGGGTTTCTCAAATGCCTGGTTTCGTAGCTAGCCAAAAAGACTATCCAAAGGTAAAAACCCGAACTCGATAGCTATTACTATTGATGATTTATTATGAAAATACTGATGCCTGTATCTATCATATATCTCTTATAAATTCATGAGGTTGCTTACGATCGTAATCCTGCTAGATACAAACACAAAACCATTCAAAATAACTGTTTTTATCCAGTTTTCGAAGCTGAACACGAATCTGAGCTCAATTTCTGTGATCTCTAAAGATATTATATCACGCTGAGGGTAGAGTCAGTGATCACTGGATAGAGTTGCATACAGTGTGGTGCATGCTAACTTAGCATGCCTGAATTTTCTCCTTGTAATTTAGTGAGAAGGGATGTATCTTGATGAGATCTATGCCTTATAGAAAAAAATGGATGTATTTTTTCGGTTTTTGAAGTACA